CAGAAGTGAGTTACAATCTGTAATTTCACAGTATGATTTAGAAGATGTATACAATGCGGATGAAACTGGTCTCTACTGGAAATTAGAACCCCATAAATCTCTTGCTAGTGGACCTATTACTGGATTAAAGAAACCAAAAGATAGAGTCACTATAATGCTTACGTGCAATGTAACTGGAACTCATAAATTACCTCCAGTATTTATTTATAAATATAAAAATCCACGCTGTATTCACAATATTGATAAAAAAACACTCCCTGTATGGTATTACTTGAACAATTCATCATGGATGCAACGTTCCATTTTCCAAACATGGATCAGGCAATTTAATAAAGAAATGCAAAAAAGACAAAAAAACGTTTTATTATTAGTAGATAATGTTTCATCACATCAATTGGAAGCTGAGGAATTGAGTAATGTTAGACTGCATTTTCTTCCACCAAATACAACTTCATATCTTCAACCACTTGATCAGGGTATAATAAGATCATTCAAAGTAATTACTTTTTTTTCAAATAAAAAAAAAAATTTACCTTTTTATTTTTTCTATATTAGGCTCATTATTATGTGAAGACAGAATTCAAGCATTCGATGAACATCAAGAACTTGATATTGAGATCCCTAAGTTGAATATTTTGAACGCAATTAATTGGACTGCACAAGCATGGAATAGTGTTACTGATGATACAATATACCGTTGTTGGCAAAGAACAGGTATTTTACTTGAAGAAATGTATGAAGAAGAAATGTATGAAGAACCAAATGAATTAGAAAATGAATTAGAAAATGAATTAGAAAATGAATTAGAGAGTGAAGAAAATGCAGTCCAATTACTTATCAGTCAAATGAATATTGATATCATGGCAAATAATTATATTAATATTGATGATAGAATAGAAATTGCTGAAGTAGTTGATGAAGAAGAGATAATTGCTGCAGTACAAGAGGCACCAGAAGAAGAAGAGGAGGGAGAAGATATAGGTAATCCAATATCAAATACAGTTACGTTGGATAGCATTCAAAATATATTTAATTATTTGCAGCAAAATGCAGATATAAAAATAAATAATTCATTAATCTTGGGAATGAAAACCTGCAGCATCAGATTAGAAGAAAGCAAAATGCCTCTCTAAAACAACTTACCTTGGAAAGTTTTTACAAAAAATAATTCTATGTATATGTTATTTCATAATATTTTAGTATATCATTTTTATAAAGAGTTTGTATCACTTATTACATATATATAAATAAAAAAAAATTATGAAATTTGATAAGTCGGACAGATGAGTCCTCCCCACCATGTCCGACTTATCGAGTTTACATGTGTATTTAAAATACTTTCACTTGATATTTACCTATATATAATTTTCTTAAATTTTATTGGCTATCCACTTGTATAACAATGATTTTACGTGTGATAAATTTTAAAAGAAAACAAAAATATTCTTTTGGCATTTTCTTTTTAAACACTATGATATATGTGTGCTCATCTATGGACTGGCTGTTGATAAAGGTTACCTTGGTCATACATGCAAGCACAAATTGGTTTGTTCCCTGAATGATCTGCAAATTTAAATGAAGAAAATTTAAGTTTGAGGAGAGATATTGAGATATGTTCACAATCATGGAAGGAAGAAAAAAACAAATAAAACTTTTCATGTTTATGAAAGATTGTTTGACAGCAGCATTACATTAGATTTTTATAAATTTGATGTAAAATGTACTGGTAATTGTGATTTTGAGTAATTTGGAAATATACGAATTTACAATTTAAATTTAATATACATATAATTATTTTATGATTATCTGTGTCGTGTTAGAGAAGTCAGGATATGGTATTTACAGAAATAATTCCATGCTTGCTTATTAGGGATCTTGATCAATAAAATAAAATTTTTTTAATTGGCCGTAAATTGAGGAATATTATTATTATTGCTGGTAATTATTTTTGACAATTGTAGTTTGCAATCAATAATATGGTACATAAACACTGGGAATTCTTAAAAAGATGTAATATCATCTTAAGAAGAACTATTACTATACATAGTTGGCTTCGAAAATACAATCTATCGTAATCGTATGTAAATAATTGTAATTCTTGGTACTCAATAGTGATTAGGTTATTCATAATAACAATCTTGGAACACATCTTTAATTTTTCTAATCAACATAAAGTTGTACTTATTATTATATGAAAGCCTATATTCTCAACTACTTATTAAGGCCTTTTAAGCAATATTGTTAAAAGAATGCCAACATTAAGTAAAAATATACATGATAAACATAATTTGATATATAAAGCTTCTTTTAAAATAAAATTGTTCTTTATAAACCATTCGTTCCCACCAAATATTAAAAGAAAAATTTGTTTTCACTGTCAAAAAGTAAAACATTTATTAATTGACAATAGCTTAATGTCTTTAAAGGTGTGTTTTCATCACAAAATTTGTATTTGATATTGATTACACTATACGATTTGATGCCATCATATTTACGAACTTATGGCGACCAAAATTATTTCTCCTGTAATTACACTATCTATATTCACATTCATATAACAGAAATTTAGAAAATAAAAAAAATGGAATTTTAAAACGACTATTATTATTTTTAATTTTTCTACAGTATCATTTATCACATCATCTTCTTTCATAGTCATAAATTCCGATTCATTTCATAATCTTTTACGCATCTGATAAATTCATTCCTTGATTTCATGATCTAAAAAATCATTACTATTGATTGAAAATGATTCCAAGATTTAATGAAATAAAGAATACTTTTGTGACTTTTATTATAGTATCAAAAATTTGTTGGTTAGATTTCAAAGTCTATGAATTAATGTGAGTGGATGAGTAAATGAGTGATAGTAAGAAAAATATATTTTTGCTTTACTAAGAAGAATCTTTAGTGAAATGGTCTGAAGTCGAGCTTTCATGGTTCGAAGTTTCCGAGTACAACGTCTGTTTTTTATAAGATCATTTGCTATGCATTCTAATATTCATTAAAAAATTATTATTAACAGTATCATAGGCAGTTTTCTTAATATCTATTATTCTTTTCTCAAAGGCTTCTTCTATTTAATTCTATTTCAAGTTGAGATCATTGTAGAACGCATTGAAATTGTAAGTATTTTTTAATACCAACTAATAAACATTTTGTTATTAAGAGTTGAGGTAAGAAGAAATAGATATTATGAAAACCAATTATAAAATGCAGACGAATAACGAGAGAAATTTCTGAGCAACGGTTCAAAAAAGCTGTAAGGAAAAAAGTTTCATTAATTTTGCAAATGAAGCAGAAGTAAAAATATTATATCATTTTTGAAAATATATGGAAATAAATGAATAATTTTGTCAAATCGTTAATTATTTATTTTTATAGAAGAATATAAACAAACACAATTATTATTTAAGGTAAAAATATCTTATTATTTTTTAATTTGTTTTTATTAAAGAAAACATAACACGGTGGTTGTTGTACACCATACAGGCTGTATAAATAAAATAGGGTTCTTAATTTAATTAATAAGAATTTATTAATTATAACAAACTATATTAATATATATAATCACATTATCAATCAGTTCAATTACTTGCTTCCAAGACTGCAAAAACAATTTGTGGATTAAGTATTTCCGTAGAGTCGTAGCAATATGTTTTAAATTTGAATATATCCAATAACACATCTATTGGGGATATATCCAATATTTATCTTTGAAGAAAGATTTAGTAATGAAAAGGATATTATAACAAGATATAAAGGTATTATATCATCAAATAATTAGTTTATTGTCCTTTTAGCAAAAGGAAACCAAATGATATTTGCAACGTCAATATTTTTGCAATCAGCGTTTACCATTTTAATAGTTATAATAAAATAACAGTGATGATACATATTTATTATATATAATTACTAATATTTATCATTTCATAAACATCATCAATCGCCTTCAAAAGAATATTAATGCTTGAGCAAAACTGTCGCGAGTTTTCAATAAACCTTCACATTCCATTTTTCACCAAGATGATCATTTGTTTATTTCAGCTTTATAGTATATATGTACAAGTATAAAAAACCATTATTCCGATTCAATGAATGAATTCCCATATTAAAATAAAATAAAAAATAGTAGTTTCAACCAATATCTGTTAGTACCAATTATCAAAATCAAATTTGCCAGAACGCACCAGATACGATTCATTATTATCCAAAATCAGCTAGTCGGCATTGTCATCATCATATCATCATCATCATCATCATCATCATCTTATAAAGAAAATTTGTTACACGGGCCATGTAACCAGGTTAAGTATTTACCAGTATTTAAAAAGGAAAGGATCTCTAAATCTCACGGCAAAAACCGGCTGGATATATTAATAATAAAATTATTGTATGTATATATAAAAACTAATTTAATCATGTTTGTATTGGTGATGGTGTAGCCTAACTGTAAAGGTTTAAGTTAAAGTTTTCCATCCACATGATAATGAACAGTTCAGTTATGAGTCATAAACAGTTAATATTACCATATTACCCGAGCCACTCGGTTACTCAGATTATTGTGGCTAATAATGTATGATGATGAATATTTTTTAATGCATGTGGTTAGATTGATTTTTTTTTCGTGGTAAAAAAATTTGAAACGTGTTGTGACACGATGGCAAAAAAAATTTTTTTTAATAAAAAAAAAAACTTTATTATAATTTACAAATTAAAAGCTTATATTATATTATTAATTCTAAGAAAAATTCACATATTACAAAAATTCTAATTTTTGTTGTCGAAAATTTTTTTGTACAATAAAATGAAGTAATTAAATGAAATAATTAGTGAAGTAGTAAAAGACGGATATAGTAAGATTATTTTATAAAATTAAAAAATTTACAAGAAAAAATTTTTTTGTCATAATAAGGAATAATAAAAAAAAAAATCATAATTAAAAATCATAATAAATGTTTAAAAAGTGTTTTTTTCTAAATGTTATTTATTATCAAGTGTTATACTTGAAGATGATCTGCTTTTGATCTGAATAATTCTTCACGTTGATATTGTTGTAATTTACGTTGGTACTCATTATGATGAACCTTTTTTACACCTCTTTTCAACTCTTCTAAAAATACAAAAGTGAGACAGAAATGTGGTCCAATTCTCATGAAATGTGTACCAAATCCACGATACAAAGCTCTCCAACCCTCATTCTTTACAATATTAGCAATTGATGACATCATTGATTCGTTGGATAATGTTGTTGATTTTGCATTATATAATCTTGTTCTCCTATAATTTATGGAATATTGATTACATTAGCATACTAATACATACGTAAATAAATTTATATGATAAATCTCATTATAATAAGATAATAATTAATTGCTTACACAACGTCTAATGGGTTCATGAATACGACACTTATGAGAGCACTGATAAGACTACATCCGATATCCAATGGCACGCCATCTTTATAACCTTCACGAATTGAATAATCCTTTAGCATTGTGTAAGAAGAGAGATTTGCTGCACTCCCTAATATTCCCCTGTATATGGAAATAGTGGATCCACGATAAAGACCTTGCAGACCACCTTCTTGTCTAACGATATTTCCTAGAGCAGAAGTTACCGACGTGTACTTGAACTGATTACCAACAGCAATTTCGCCAGCAGCAGAACTTTGCAGTCTTGTTTTCACCAATTCAAAAGGATTTGCTGACACAGCGCCCAATGCACCACATATTCCACCCGCAAACATTCTTTTCCAAGCTGGAGCTGTAGAAATATTTAATTTATTATCATTATCATTATCTCTTGGATGCATCATTGTCAGTATTGGATCATAAAGTCCCTATTTGTATATAAGAATATTTGTGGTTAGTTAACAGACTAGAATATAAATGTACATAAATTATTGATCGATCGATCGATCGATTGTACATACCAAACGAAAGACATTTTTAGAACTTTCTTTTAGAATCGATGGGGCCAGACCTTTTTCAAGACCACGAATTCCCTCATATTTAAAAGTTTTCCAAAGACAATCAAAACTATTTTTATAAACCTAATAACAAATAATAAATCATTAGAATAATCACTATATATATATAATTAATTAATTAGCCAGTCAGCCAGCCAGCCGGTTAGTTACCTTGTCAGCAGAAACGCGAACGGTTTTACCAGCAGAATCTTTCATAAATTTGACTTCACCTTGAAGTTGCATCCTAACTTTAACAGTGTCAAAAGGTAAAGTAAAAATAACAGCCATGCTAGGAGCCAAAGCACTTAAAGCAAAATTTTCAAGTTGAGAAATATTTTTCTGTGGTGCAAGGGTTTTAAGTGGTGGAGCGGAAGAAAGAGAATTGTTTTTTTTTATATTCATTGAGGACATTTTTTTTTTTTTTTTGAAGAAAATTTAAAGATTTTGTGTGTTGTGTATGTGTGTTGCTATGAATAATTTTTTAGCAAAAAAATTTTTGTACAATTTATATAATGGGTTATTAATTTGATGATGTCAATGTTGATTTTGTGAGAGTGTGGATAAACTTTTAATACTTTGATATTATTGTCAGATGAAGACGGTGTTTGCCGTCTTGGTATTATTACTATCAGTGTTGGTGTTGTTGTTAATTCTTTAACTTTTATTCTATTTTTACGAAACATATAAATAAAGAGATGATTGATGATGATGTGATGATGGTGATTTATTATATAAAATGGGAGAATAGTAGAGTATATATATGGAGAATAGTAATATAGTAATATGATGATGAAAAAAAAAAAATCAAACAATTTTTTTTAAAAACAATTTCTTGAAAAAAAAAATTTTTCAAGAGTTTAAATAACTTTTAAAATAAAGTGGCTCAATAAAAAAAAATTTTTTTTTTTTTGATTAAAAATAAATAATAATTAATATAAATAATAGAAATTATTGTTTAATTTTAATTTAAATTGATAAAAACGACTACTAAGACATGACTTTTATTATACAGCTCCGTAAATTGCCGAAATTTATTTAACCTGGGTTGCATTATATTTTATTTATTTACTTATTTTTTATATTAACACACGATTAATATAACAATAAAAAACTTATACAAAAGTGGATGGTTTTACTTTTCTCTCGCTAAACTTTTTTATTGCGTTTGTTTCGTCATAATAATCTCAACTTTTCTCCATTCCAAAAGAAAACTTGGGACGTTTGAAAATTATTGAATTTTGTCCTCAAATATCTCTTTTATTAAAATCATACGATAATGATGATGACTTTTTTTTACAATTGACCAAAATTACTATAATAATAATAATAAGGAAAATATTTTCTTGTAGATCTTTTTGATATATTCCGCATTTGTTAAATTGTATTAGTATTATTACATTTATATTTATGTGTACAACCAAACATTCTTCTCACACACCACTTTTTTTTTTTTTTTTTTTTTAACAGACAGTTAACGAAATTCCGTCTCCAGTTAGAAAAGTTTTTGCTTCTCAATAAACCATAAACAAATTCATACAATATATGCCGGGATTACTCGGATGTAAACTATTTTTAAATTTATTATTGTGATTTCGTTCACTTCTATTTAAAAAAAAAAACTAGATTTTATTTGTGTGGATAAACATATCAATTAATGAATGAATGAGTGAATGCACGCACATATACACGACGATTAGATTTTTGTTTTTTAAAATTTTGTTTATTGTTATTATTATTTATAAATCCGGTGACAATTCGAAATAAAGACAGGATAGTAATAGGAGAGGAAAAACAAAGAAAGAGCGAACGAACGACAAGTAAACAAACATGCACAAAAAAAATAATTGACAAATGACAAAAATACCTGTGTTTTCGTGTTTAATTAAAATAATAAATAAGAAAAAAAAGAAGGAAAGAAGGAGTGTATTGACAACATACATATTTTTAAGAAAAGATAATGCAATAAAATCGTTTCTCACAATTAAAACTGATAACTTTATAATTATTTATATTTAAAAATCCCAGATCTCGATATTTACTTAATACATCTAGTAAATATTAGATTAAAAGGTCTGGGTCCTTTTCAATTATTATCATCAGTAATAACAAACTCACATTTCAAATGTATGGCATTTAATTTTCTTGGTGAAGATTGATTTAATATTGCAAAAAACACTTTATTTCCATCTATTGTCTCATCTCTAAAAGACTTGATAAATCCAAGACTTTTTAAATTGATACAATTATCAAACAATTCAATTAATTGTGTACCCAATCCATTCTTGTAAAACAATATTGCCCAATTGATTGCATCACTGCTCCCAAATATTATTCGTCACTTGATCCATCCATTACAAATTGTTAATTTCCTAAGGTTTTCTCCATTGATTTTCATGGATCAGCCAAGTCTAATAAAAATGGCCAGCAATAAACATTCAAATAAAATTCTTGAATGTTTGGAGGTAAGATTGATTGTAAATCAATGAATGGAAATAGCCTGATTATATACACATCATCATCACTATGGTCATCATAAACGGTTAATTTAATGTTTCTAAGTTTTTAAAAGTTCGTATTAGGCAATATAACTCATTTCCCCCATAACTTTCATAATCAATTATTGACTCTGAATGTTTTGATGCCGAGTTTCTGAAATTAATTGACAAAATTATGACTCAACAACTAGTTTTTTAATCTGTTTTTGTGTTTTAATTAATTCAGCTAGACTAAATTCACATGAAACATGCTGTTGTTGCTTATCAAGAACCACATAATAAATCATCAAGTAAAGTACATTTATACATTTCAAATGCTGAATATTTTTGCAAATTTATCAAGAAATTTACCATTCGCAATTTTTTATCAGCTATTTTAAGTTTTCTAATGTTCTAAAATAAAATTCGCTAATCTCTCTTCGAGACAACAGGCTTTGTTAGTTATTACCAAATGATCAATGTTATTTAACAAATATGATAAATCTAATTCAGTAGCAAATTTAGCATAATCGCACATTGGTGGTTGTTTTTCCAATAATTTAAATCTCAATTAAATATCATTTTCCACTAAAAAACCCTTATCTTCTGTAATAAACAATTTGATTATTTTGCTGCTATTGACAGAATGTAATGGATTTCTCCATTTAGCTGTGATTATGTTATTGTGCCGAATTTTTATTGATTAGAATGCAAGGATACAATGTTTTATAATCATTATCCTCTACGTATTTCAATATTTCGATTAAAGTTCTGGTGGAAAAGGTGGTGAAAAAATTTTTTTTTTAAAAAAAGTATTCAATCAAGGAGCAATGTTACACGTAAACGTCATCATTACTGGTGGTACTACGCAGAGGTAGAGGGATTGAATAAATATAAACTCAAGCTGAGCTTATTCTTTCATTTTGACCTTTTGACTTTGTTGAATTTTAAAAATAAATAAATACGGCATTATGTTCACGCGGACACACGACTGTCGTATCATGTGACTCAATATTCAATTATTATACGATCATTTTCATTTGCCAAAACTAATTAATAATATATATTATTAAATATAAATGAATTAATTATTAAATAAATAAATTAATTATTAAATAAAAAATATAATGTAAGTGTAAATAAATGTAAACGAAAATGTAAATGTAAATATAATGTAAAATAAATGTAAAAATGTAAAATGTAAATGTGAATGTGTGTGCATATATATATATATATATAATATTAACAAAAATAAATTTATTAAATATAGTATCTATATATTTATATTTCTATGTATAATATTTTTTCATTTCATTTAAAATCCTATAGAAACCATTAATACATAACCAATTGTGATTACTGAAAATAATCCAATTACAGAGCCTAGTACACCAGATTTTAGGAAATCATATGTAGTCAAGTATCGAACACCCATATCATCTTCCATCATAATCGCATTCATATTTGGAAACCCTGATACTGGTAATCCCATTGATAATGAGCATGTTAATGCCGAACCCTGTTTAAATGTAATAAAAGGATGTTATTATTATTATTGTGAAATTATATTTTTTTAAAAAAAAAATAATTACCATTACTAATAAATTTGGATGTGAATCACTTAATCGACGACCAACTTCTGCAACAATAGGTAAAATGATAAGAGCAGCAACAGTGTGACTGATAAATGTTGAAAAGACAAGTACCAGGATGGAGAAAACCACTAAAACTTGCCAAACTCCAAAATCATTAACCATAGCCTGAATATTTTTAGCTATAAAGTGTAATAATCCTGAACTATACACTGCCTTTCCAAGTGCAATACCACCCATAGCAAGTATAATCACTGTCCACAAGAAATTATTGAAGTCTTCTTTGGTCAAAATTCCTGTTCCAAAAAATAAAACCAATGGAACTATTGCTATAATCCCCATATCACCCAAAAAAAATTCCAACTTCTTTTCAATACACCATAAAACAATCGTTATAATGGTAACTACTATCACATAGATTTGTGATCCAGTTAATGGGTCTCTGGAGGTTCTTATTGGAAGAATTATTAGACTTTTTGTTGGCTTATAATTCCAAAGAAGCAAGGCCCATATCAAAATATCTATAATTATGCACAAGGGTATTGCCACAGCAAACCATTGAATCCATGTTGGTGAAGGATGCATGTTTTCAATTGCTATTATGTTTTGAGGAGATGATATTGGTGATGCCATACCACCTACATTTGATGCTAATGCAATACCAATAATCAAACAACGCCCAAATGATACATTTGATGGTAGATTCCTAAGAATAGGTTGTATCAATGAAAAGCACAAAACAGGTGCTGCAACATTACTTATCCACATACTGGCAAATGTTGCAACAAACATATTAGCCAACAATACAGAACTGGGTTTTGTACCAGCCTTTGATAAAACCAATGTTGCCATCATTTTTGCTATATGGTATTTGCTCAATGCTCCTGCTATAGCAAATCCACCTAAAAGCAACATTATCACTGGCGAAAACATCGCAGCAAAGATTTGTTTGGTTGCTAAATGTGCATCAAGACGTGTCCCATCATCAGAACGTAGAACACGTAAACATACCACCAATAATGGAATTAGCAGTGATGTTACAAAAAGTGGCATAACCTCCGTAGACCACAAAAGACTTGCAAATACCAATAATGCAAAACAGTTCCTTTGTTCCTCATGTTTAAAAATTGGCAAATTTAGCAATAGAAGAAAAATTACAATGCAAATTATCAGTATAGTCATATTTTTACAAAATATATCATTTATAGTCAAATTTCCAAAAGGTGTTGATATTTCAGGTGGTGTTTTAATTATATCCCCTGGTGCTTTAATATTAACAGCATGACTCTTTCTTTCCAGTCCAATGATATCTCTCCATATTGTATTTCTTTCCCAAACAATAAAT